AGTTCTAGGGTACATGTGCATAACGTGCAGGTTTGTTACATATGTATACTTGTGCCATGTTGCTGTGCTGCACCCATCAACTCGTCAGCACCCATCAACTCGTCATTTACATCAGGTATAACTCCCAATGCAATCCCTCCCAACACTAATATTTAACAAACAACTTCTGTCTTCAGAGCATCAAGATGTTTTTCAAAGTTTATTCTCTTATACTGTTGGCCAGGCACAGTGGCTCACAGCTGTAATCTTAGCACTTTGAGAGGCCAAGGCAGGCAGATTACCTGAGGTCAGGAGTTTGAGATCATCCTGGCCAATATAGTGAAACCCCATCTGTACTAAAAATACAAAAATTAGCTGGGCATGGTGGCATGTGCCTGTAATCCCAGCTCCTCGGGAGGCTGAGGCAGGAGAATCCCTTGAACCAGGGAGGCGGAGGTTGCAGTGAGCCAAGATGGTGCCACTGTACTCTAGCAAGATTATTATGTTATACTATATATTCAGTTATTTATTCCTTCAGTAAACATTGTTAAACATCTCCTTTCTTCCCAACATATTGATAGTTGGTGTGTGGTTGGGAGAGGAAGCAATGAAAAAAAAATATATATATATATATATATATGTATATGCAGTGTTCTCAGCTCACTGCAGCCTTCACCTCCCAGGTTCAAACGATTCTCCTGCCTTAGCCCGAGTAGCTGGGATTACAGGTGCCTGCCACTATGCTTGGGTAATTTTTTATATTTTTAGTAGAGATGGGGGTTTCACCATGTTGGCCAGGCTGGTCTCGAACTCCTGACCTTCAGATGATCCACCCTCCTCGGTCTCCCAAAGTGCTGGGATTACAGGTCTGAGCTAGCGCTCCCTGCCAGAAAAAAATTTTTTTAATAAATTTTTTGCTGTCTGCATGCTTACAGTCTGGTACAAAAGACAAAAAAGTTTTTTGGTCTTGTTAAAGTTTGGAAATAAATCAGGGACTCATAAATGCCTAATTTATGTTGATGTATGCAAACATACACTAGAAAGAAGTATATTAAAAAAATAATGACACTGGGTAGTTTTATTGTAGAATAATTTTTACCATGGACAATTGTTTGTGAAAATGACACCTTGAAAACACATCTCACTTTTTTACTTGCTGGAGAAGGAAGCTTGAATTACAAGTCTTTTGGGTAGCCTGGTTTGAACAGTATTAGGAAATAAGCAAGCCTAACTTGGTTAAATTCTAACCTCTCCTGATTCCCAGAAGTCCAAAGTTCATTTGGGGGTAATTTAGTGTGATCCATGTCTTTTGTGATTCCTACAAGGTGAACTAAAGAAATAACTAAAGATGGACCAGTTAGGTTTTGGTAAAAACTGTGATATGTTTTGTTGTGTTTTAAATACTGATGTTGAGTCAGTTCATCTTTCCTACTGAAAATCCTTAAGTGGGAAAAGTAGCTATGTTAATAAATACATAGAAAAACTAGGAGTTACACCAAAATATTAATGCTTGCCACTGGATGGTGAGATCTGAGTGCCTTTTCTTACGGTCTTTAAATTATCTGTATATGGCTTTTTTTTTTTTTTTTTTTTTTTTTTTTTTTTTTTTTTACAAGTGTGTACTACTTTTGTATCTGGAAAAAAAGATTTGTTTTTGTTTCATTTTTTAAGAAGAAGCTTTCATCAGTGGCAAAGGCTCAGTTGAAATTAATGATAAAGGATAACTACTTGCCACGTGTCGTGAGCCCAGGGCTGAGCAGAATCCTGCAGTGCTCTGAAACCAGTGAGTGCTGCTGAGACCCTGAGAACCCACAGAGAACAGTGGGGTGATTGTGCCTCTGCACCTCCTCAGGTGACCGAGGGCTGAGCAGGAGAACACAGACTCTTTCATGAAGAAGTGACTAGTATAGGAAAAACAGAGCCTCTCTGTAGAGATGCTTGAAGTGCTAGCTTTATTTAAAAATCAACTGGCAAAACTGGAGTGAAGAACACACATTTTCAGAAGATCCCGGTTTCCTGTTTTCATTAAGAAAACAAGGAATGCGGAACAGCTGAGTGTGCTGGGGGTGGTGTCACTGCAGCCGGAGGGAGACTTCATTGGTGAAAACTCAGCCTATGGCATTTGTGCGTGGCTGGCTAAGTTTACACGAATGTTGAAACTTCCTTGTGGGGTGAGAATCGAGGACGTCTGAGGCTGGGTCCTGGTGAGCTGGGAGCGAGCTGGTGAGCGGTGCAGCGCGGGCCGGCAGAGAGCGCAGCGGGCGCCACCTGGTAGGTGAGCTGCGAGTGGCGTGGGGCGGTCACCGCTGGCCGAATCCCCGGGGGGCCTTGGGCGAGGGTGACCGGGAAGGCTGCGTGCTGCTTGGCCACTTTACTCGACCACAGCGACCCCACAGGTCTACAGGCGTCCAGCTTAGACTCACCGGCTCACACACACATCCCGGGTGGGCCAGATTAGCCTGCCTGTCTGACACCCAAGCTGTAGTTTCTCTTTGTTTATGGAATTTCAGACAGTACTGGAAACAGGTCTGGCTGCATATTTTGAGTGATCACCTTCTCCATATGGAGATGAAAGCTAAAAAGGAAAGAGAAAAGGACGGCTACATTCTATTAACATGAGCACTATGAACATGAGCACAAATTTCCAGGCACGGCGCTCCCGGCCAGCCCTCCCATTCTTGGGCTAGGGCATGACCGCTGCTGGGCGCTTCTTTCACATAGAATTCACTTCCCACACGTGTTAGAATCGAACAGCTAGAACAATTTAATATTGTTTTAAATTGGGACATAAAGAATATATGTCCTTTTCCTCTGCTTGGCAAACATTTTTGTACTTTTCTTTCCAACATTTGGGAAGAAAGCGGGCAGATGGAGACAGAAGTGTTCTTCAGAGCATTCACACTGGCGGTGTAAATGTTCGGCAGTGCTGGGGGTTGGGAGGGCGGACAGCAACCAGGTTTGCTGGAAGTTCTTTCAAACTTGACAGCCGTCAAGTGGGTTTGTATACTCAGAAGAGGGCAAGGAGACTGATGGCTTACATTTTCACTCATTGCTTTTGGGTTCTTTCCATAGCTCTAAAAATGCACGGCTTGTTAGTGTGGCTCTGGGAAAACACAACACATGACTTGATCCTACAATTTAAACAAATAAAAATGACCTTGCTTTTAAATTTGAAATGCATAGCCCAGGTCAGCGACAAGGTCTGTGCTTTGAAAGGTTCTTGTGTTTCCTCTTTTAAATGTCTGGTTTGGCCTTAAGTAGTATTTACTGAATGCCACATGATCCAGTGGTTGGAGTATGTAGGTTTTGCCCTTATCTTCATTCTTTGCATCTGTTTGAACTCATCACAATACAAAACAAGGTGTTCCTGGGATAGGGAATGTTTTGTCCAAAAGAAGTCAACACAGAGAAAACTTTTCCTATAGTTAAGACAGGGTTTGGTTTTGTTTTTAAATGAGGAGAGAAACTGAGAAGTGGAAGACACGAAATAGAGTTGAAGTCTTTCTTCTGTGTGCTTGTACCCTTGCTGCCAGAGTAAATCACTAAATATCCCATGCCCCAGCTTTCTCAGCCAGGGAGGTGTCAAGGCAAATTGTAATCCTGTGGAGGTGGTCAGGAGCTGAGTGCCCTTGGCCTCCATTTAGAAAGGCAGCCCAGTCTGCAAAAGACAGGGGCAGGGACATCTCATCCCAGGCCTCCTGGTTCTGCTGCCGACTTTGTCTGTCTGCTGCTGACTTTTGGTTTTTTTGTGTGCCTCAGATAACACTTTGAAAAACAGGAATCTTAATGTCTGCTGTCTATATTCGAAGAGACTGTAGATGACCAATGAAATTATCTACTGGACAATGCTTTCATGTCTCTTTTTTTTTTTTGCAACAGAGTTTTTGCTCTGTTGCCCAGGCTGGAGTGCAATGGCGAGATCTCGGCTTACTGCAACCTCCACTTCCTGGATTCAAGTGATTCTCCTGCCTCAGCCTCCTGAGCAACTGGGATTACAGGCACCTGCCACCATGCCCAGCCAATTTTTGTATTTTTAGTAGAGACGAGGTTTTACCACGTGTTGGCCAGGCTGGTCTCAAACTCTTGATCTCAGGTGATCCACCCACCTTGGCCTCCCAAAGGGCTAGGATTACAGGAGTGAGCCACCATGCCCGGCCTTTCGTGTCTTTTATAATGAATTATTTTAAAAATAGTAAGGACTTACTGTGTGCTTGACTCGTTGAAATCATTATCTCTGAGTACTGATGGACATAAAGATGGAAAAAGATGGAAATAGTAGACATTTTAGACTACAAAAGTAGGGAAGGAGGGGAGTGAGGGTTGAAAAATTACCTATTGGGTATAGTGTTCACTATTTGGGTGATGTGTACACTAGAAGCTCAAAGCTCATCATTACACAATAGATCCATGTAACAAGCCTGCACATGCACTCCCTGAATCTAAGATAAAATTTTAAAAAATAATACAATCATTATCTCATTACATTGTTTTAAGCCTGTGAGTTAAATATTTGCATCTCCATTTTTACTCAGGGAGAAACTGAAGTTCAGAGAGGTTTATTAACTTGCTTACCCAGGCCAGGTGCAGTGACTCACGCCTGTAATCCCAGCAGTTTGGGAGGCCGGGGAGGGTGGATCACCTAAGGTCAGGAGTTCCAGACCAGCCTGGCCAACATGGTGAAACCCTGTCTCTACTAAAAATGTAAAAATTAGCCAGGCGTGGTGGTGTGCCTCTATAATCCCAGCAACTCAGGAGGCTGAGATAGGAGAATTGCTTGATCCCGGGAGGCGGAGGCTGCAGTGAGCCGAGATCGCGCCATTGCACCTCCAGCCTGGGTGACAGAGTGACCTGTCTCAAAAAAAAAAACTTGCTTACCCAGTTGTTGTAGATCCAGGTTTACAACATAGGTGTGTCAACTCTTAAAATCATACCAGCTTGCTGTACTGCAACAAACACAAATACTAGTTTTTACCATTATGTGTATTGCGTGTCATTATAATATTCTTTTCTCCCTCTTCTAGGAAAAGCAGATGATATTCTGAATGGAGACCAGGACAAGGAACAAAAAGACCCTTACTTTGTGGAGACCCCCTATGGTTATCAACTAGACTTAGATTTCCTCAAATATGTGGATGACATACAGAAGGGAAACACCATCAAAAGACTGAACATCCAGAAGAGGCGGAAGCCATCCGTGCCATGCCCAGAACCCAGGACCACATCTGGTCAGCAAGGTATATGGACTTCCACCGAATCCCTCTCATCCTCCAACAGTGATGACAACAAGCAGTGCCCCAACTTCCTCCTAGCCAGAAGCCAAGTTACGTCAACTCCAATCTCAAAGCCACCTGCCCCTCTGGAGACCTCACTCCCTTTTCTTACCATCCCAGAAAATCAACAGCTGCCACCTCCCTCACCACAACTCCCAAAGCATAACCTTCATGTCACCAAGACACTGATGGAGACCCGGAGAAGACTGGAACAGGAGAGAGCCACCATGCAGATGATACCGGGTGAGTTCAGGAGGCCCAGGCTGGCCAGTTTTGGAGGCATGGGCTCCACAAGCTCCCTCCCCTCTTTTGTGGGTTCTGGAAACCACAATCCTGCCATACACCAGCTTCACAATGGATACCAAGGTAATGGGGATTATGGTGGCTATGCCCCAGCTGCTCCCACCACTTCCTCCATGGGGAGCTCCATCCGCCACAGCCCCCTGAGCTCAGGGATCTCCACCCCAGTGACCAACGTGAGCCCTATGCACCTGCAGCACATCCGTGAGCAGATGGCCATTGCTCTGAAACGCCTGAAGGAACTGGAGGAGCAGGTGCGAACCATCCCTGTGCTCCAGGTAAAGATCTCTGTCTTGCAAGAAGAGAAAAGGCAGTTGGCCTCACAGCTGAAAAACCAAAGGGCTGCATCCCAGAACAATGTCTGTGGTGTGAGGAAGCGGTCCTACAGTGCAGGGAACGCCTCCCAGCTGGAACAGCTCTCCCGGGCCCGAGGAAGTGGCGGGGAACTATACATCGACTATGAGGAGGAAGAAATGGAGAGCGTAGAACAGAGCACCCAGAGGATAAAGGAGTTCCGGCAGCTTACAGCAGACATGCAAGCCCTGGAGCAGAAGATCCAGGACAGCAGCTGTGAGGCCTCCTCAGAGTTCAGGGAGAATGGAGAGTGCCGGTCTGTGGCTGTGGGTGCCGAGGAGAACATGAATGACATCATCGTGTACCATAGAGGCTCCAGGTCCTGTAAGGATGCAGCTGTAGGGACACTTACTGAGATGAGGAATTGTGGGGTCAGTGTGACAGAGGCCATGCTTGGAGTGACGACTGAAGCTGACAAAGAAATTGAGCTGCAACAGCAGACCATAGAAGCCTTGAAGGAAAAGATCTATCGCCTAGAAGTACAGCTTAGAGAAACCACCCATGACCGGGAGATGACTAAACTAAAACAAGAGCTGCAGGCTGCTGGATCGAGGAAAAAGGTTGACAAAGCCACGATGGCTCAGCCGCTTGTTTTCAGTAAGGTGGTGGAGGCAGTGGTGCAGACCAGAGACCAAATGGTCGGCAGTCACACAGACCTGGTGGACACGTGTGTTGGGACCTCCGTGGAAACAAACAGTGTAGGCATCTCCTGCCAGCCCGAATGTAAGAACAAAGTCGTAGGGCCTGAGCTGCCCATGAATTGGTGGATTGTTAAGGAGAGGGTGGAAATGCACGACCGTTGTGCTGGGAGGTCTGTGGAAATGTGTGACAAGAGTGTGAGTGTGGAAGTCAGCATCTGCGAAACAGGCAGCAACACAGAGGAGTCTGTGAATGACCTCACACTCCTCAAGACAAACTTGAATCTCAAAGAAGTGCGGTCTATCGGTTGTGGAGATTGTTCTGTTGACGTGACTGTCTGCTCTCCAAAGGAGTGTGCCTCCCGGGGCGTGAACACTGAGGCTGTTGGCCAAGTGGAAGCTGCCGTCATGGCAGTGCCTCGTACCGCAGACCAGGACACTAGCACGGATTTGGAACAGGTGCACCAGTTCACCAACACCGAGACGGCCACCCTCATAGATTCCTGCACCAACACTTGCCTAAGCACTTTGGACAAGCAGACCAGCACCCAGACTGTGGAGACGCGGACAGTAGCTGTAGGAGAAGGCCGTGTCAAGGACATCAACTCCTCCACCAAGACGCGGTCCATTGGTGTTGGAACGTTGCTTTCTGGCCATTCTGGGTTTGACAGGCCATCAGCTGTGAAGACCAAAGAGTCAGGTGTGGGGCAGATAAATATTAATGACAACTATCTGGTTGGTCTCAAAATGAGGACCATAGCTTGTGGGCCACCACAGTTGACTGTGGGGCTGACAGCCAGCAGAAGGAGCGTGGGGGTTGGGGATGACCCTGTAGGGGAGTCTCTGGAGAACTCCCAGCCCCAGGCTCCACCTGGAATGATGACCGGCCTGGATCACTACATTGAGCGCATCCAGAAGCTGCTGGCAGAACAGCAGACACTGCTGGCTGAGAACTACAGTGAACTGGCAGAAGCTTTTGGGGAGCCTCACTCACAGATTGGCTCCCTCAACTCTCAGCTCATCAGCACCCTGTCGTCTATCAACTCTGTCATGAAATCTGCAAGCACTGAAGAGCTGAGGAACCCTGACTTCCAGAAAACCAGTCTGGGTAAAATCACAGGTAGGTGGTACCCTGAGGACCGGGGAATGAGGAAGATTGGGGGAAAATGTCTTTCCAGGAGCTAAGGATTATTTTTTAACTGCTGGAACCATTTTTGGTGGAGAAATGGAGAAAGCTTTAGAGTGGTAATCTGTAGAATGAAAACTAAGAATCAAAATCCATAAGCACCTCTGCTGATTCTTATTATCTGGTAGCCTCACTGGCCTCTGGCTGAGGACTAACGCTGGAAGAAAAGTAAACTGGTGTTGGCTGGCCTAGAGGTTGTCTTCTGGGGCTGCTAGTTTGGTAAGATGCTTTATTCTTTGTCTTTCAGTTATTTACTTGCTCATTATTTATAGAACTGCCTTTAAAAAAATCCTACCCTGTTTGTACCCACTATTACCAGTATATTATCAATTAGAAATGCTGACATAAAATGTTTTCAGTTAAAACGTTTATGAGAGGAGAGACTCCATTAATTCATTCGTTAAATTCAGCAAATAATTACTGAATTTGAGCCAGGTGCAATGGTACACATCTGTAGTTCCAGTTACTCTGGAGGCTGAGGCGGGAGGATTGCTAGAACCCAGGAATTTGAGGCCAGCCTAGGCAGCATGGTGAGACCTCCATCTCTAAAAAAATATGAAGTAAAAATTGTTACTTGGATTCCTACTCGGTCTCAAGCATAGGTATAGGCTGTGAATATAGTGTGAACAAAACAAGAACAGAGCCTCTGTCCCTGCGGTGCTTACATTCTAGGTGGGGTGCAGGAGATAGACAGTAGACCTATAATATGTCAGGAGGTGATAAATACTGTGAAGAAATTAACTCCAGTTGTGGGAACAGCAAGTGGTAGTAGTCAGGGTGAGGGCTGTTTGAGATGAGGTGGGCAAAGAAGGGACCCTTGAGCAAGAACTTGGAGAGAAGGGAGTCTTTTCCAGTCTCCATTTTGATAGGTGCTTACTTTTTTTTTTTTTTTTTTTTAAAGACAGAGTTGCCGTGTCACCCAGGCTGGAGTGTAGAGGTGCCATCTTGGCTCACTGCAACCTCTGCCTCCCAGGTACAGGCGATTCTCGTGTCTCAGCCTCCCGAGTAGCTGGGACTGCAGGTGCCCACCACTATACCCAGCCACTTTTTTGTATTTTAGTAGAGATGGGGTTTCACCATATTGGTCAGGCTGGTCTCGAACTCCTGACCTCAGGTGATCTACCTGCCTCAGCCTCCCCAAGTGGTGGGATTACAGACATTAGCCACTGCACCTGGTCTGATAGGCACTTACATTTTTGTCTTTCTTATTCTTTCTCGTATTCATTGGGATTCCTGCTCACCCTTCCTTCTTGAAATTGAAGCTAATTATCAGAAAACTGACCTGGATGATTTTATGACTTACAGTAATTCCCTGTGAGCCTCACCAACCTGATTTTGCTTGTGACCACGTGCACTGCCTCTCACAGTGTATAACATTATCCTCAGCTTGGGACCATACTGCCTGGCTTCTGTTTCTGGCTCTCCAATTCTCATGAATCAGTGTGACCTGGGAAAGAGTTTGCGTTAGATTAATTTTACTTGAAAATGTGTAATACAGACTTAAGTAAGCCATCCACAGAAATTCCAGTCTTCCTGACTATTAGTGTCCGATGGAGCAATGATTAAAATAGACTGAAATATATTATTTTTATATCTTCCTAAGTTTCCACTTTCCTTTTTTTTTTTTTTTTTGAGACGGAGTCTCGCTTTGTAGCCCAGGCTGGAGTACAGTGGCGCCATCTTGGCTCACTGCAAGCCCTCCCAGGCCTCCCAGGTTCACGCCATTCTCCTGCCTCAGCCTCCGAGTAGCTGGGACTACAGGTGCGTACCACCACGCCCGGCTAATTTTTTGTATTTTTAGTAGAGACGGGGTTTCACCGTGTTAGCCAGGATGGTCTCAATCTCCTGACCTCGTGATCCGCCCGTCTCGGCCTCCCAAAGTGCTGGGATTACAGGCGTGAGCCACTGTGCTCCGCTGGTTTCCACTTTCAAACCTCAATTATTGTTAATTTTCAGTATCTGTGCTATAGGACAGTTAGTTTGTTGTGGAAGAAAAAACTGAACGTGACAGTTCACGTGTGGGGTTTTGCCTTTTAGAATCCAAAGAGTCTAATAAAGATACAGAGAAGTCATTTTAGAATAAACAGGATTAAAATGATCTGTGGACTGAAACAGAGTCTGCAGGAACTCATGCCATGTCTGCTTTTGACATCCTTTTAAAAATCATGATGTCAGATGAAGTCAAAATAAAATTCTTAAATACCTCCAGACACAGATGGCACAATGGATCATCCATTATAAAAGCATTTTGTTCCCAGCCTTCCACCCTCCTCCCCAAACTGGGGTTTCTATTTCACATTCTTGCCAAAAATATTCAGCTGTAATAGTGAAGTAATTTGCTGACCCCCTGAGCACGGAGACCAGGGAGCAAGTTTGGTCTGGCTGTGTGACAGTGTTTTTTGGTCTATTTCCAGTTACACTGACATGCCACACATCACTGGTTAGATCCGACCTTGTTAGCAAACACCTAATTAATCAGCTAAAATACAGGAGACCTACAGCACTTGTGAACAAAAACAATAAATATTTTTAACAGCACTTATTTAGTCACAATGGCAGCCCCTCTCAGCGCACTCAAGAACAACTTTAAAGTATTTCTGTAATACACATCATATTTGTGTGTTCACCAAGTTCTAGTGAGAAATGAATTAGGAAATGAACGCAGAGTGTTCCATTTTTGTTATCTGGCATTTGTTACGTGTACTGAAAATTAAAGCAACTTGGTATAGTAAAGTGGAGATTCTCAACACTTAGAAGCTTTCAGAATCCAGGTGGCTCAGGGTGCACCGTGCATGCCTGTGTACACCATGCCATAGAGAATAGCACTCACCACAGTCTAGAATGCATTTCTGTACCAAAAGATATACTGGAGTATAGAAGGGTATTCATCTCAATGCTTTCTTCCCCCAAATAAAACAGTAGGGAATTTGGGTCTGACACCTACCAAAAACAGCATATAAATGATCACTTATATGAACCTAACACAGTATTCTAATTTAAAGAAGTTGTTGAGTTTGGGCTCTGAAACCAGACAGTGTGGGTTCACATTCTTTCTCTGTCACTAGAACAAGATTGTCTTTGTTCCTTCACAGGGTTGTAATGAAGATTCAGTGAATCAATAGGAGTAAAGCACAGAGTATAAATGCTCAACGAAAGCTGACTGATGTTGTTGTTAGAGTATTTCCAGAAATAGAAATGTAGATCTAGAACAAATGATGCCACACAGAAATTGTACAAATGGTCTTTTGTTTTCAACCTAAATTTTCATCTTCATTATTCTGGGTGATGCCCCCTCCCAATTATTACACCTCTCCAACTAACCGTTGTATCAATATAAAGAAGTAAATAGATAACAATGGGAAACACAAAATAAATTGATAAATTTTCAGTCCAGAGTCATTCAGAATCCGTGTCAAAGCTCAAAACGAAGAGTATTAGTGGCCAATCCATAGAATTCTGTTCATTTCTCCTAGAGTTGAAGATTTGTTGATGTTGTCACTTTTCAGTATGCAAAAAAGTGTTATTTTTAGCAGCATCATAATGCTTAACACTATATTTAATTTCTTAAAATTACAACTGGAGCATGCATCATAAGAAATTAATAGTTCAAACCTAGGCAACATAGTGAGACCTTGTCTCTACAAAAAAAATTTTTTTAATTACCTGGTCATGTTATCCTGTGCCTGTAGCCTCAGCTACTCAGGAAACTGAGGTGGGATGATCTCTTCAGCCCAAGAGGTTGAGGCTGCAGTGAGCTGCAATCACGCCACTACACTCCAGCCTGAGTGACAGGATGAGACCTTGTCTGTGGAGAGGGGTGGGATTGTGCGTGCTCACACCTGTAATCCTAGCACTCTGGGAGGCTGAGGCTGGCAGATTGCTTGAGCCCAGAGTCAGAGACCAGCCTGGGCAACATGGTGAAACCCCGTCTTTACTAAAAATACGAAAATTAGCCAGACATGATGACGGACGCCTGTAGTCCCAGCTACTCAGGAGGCTGAGGTGGGAAGCTCACCTGAGCCCGGGAGGTGGAGGCTGCAGTGAGCTGTGATTGTCACCCACCCTAGCCTGGGTAACAGAGTGAGACCCTGTCTCAAAAAAAGAAAAGAAAAAGAAATTAAACGTTCAGAAGAGTGTATAATAAAAGAGTTAAAGCCTCCCTGGCGCACTCCCGTGATAGCCCACGTGTGTTTGGTATTTATAGATGTGCATGCTTGCAGGTCTGTATTTTAGAAACATACATTTTTGTAATAAAATTTGAATCATACATAGTTTGCTTCTGTGTTTTTTCACCTAAAAGGTCACGAACATTTTTCTAGGATTTGACAGACAATGTCTTGGGTTTGATGGAATTGGAACCTGATGGTGACCAGAAGTGTTCTGTATTTTTTAATTCCTGATAGTTTGAGTTTAATGCATTTAATATTTTCTTTTATAAAATAAAAAAGTCAAGAGGAAATGAGTTTCTGTTATAACAAAAACGTTGGTGAAAAAAGTTTATTCTTCCTGTGAATCAGTTGGATTGTTTTCGTTTGAAGCATAGATTAGTGTTTTCTTTTTTTAATTACTATTTTCTTCTAGAGAGGGAAGAGGAGAGAGAAAATTCCAGACAAATGACTTACAGTTACGAATACTCTAAAAATATATAACTGTCTGTGAGCAAATACAAACAAAACTGTAACAGTGGAATTTAACTGCCCACCCCATGATTTATAGAACATTCATCTCTCATACTGACAAGAACTGCTTTTTAAAATCAGCTTCCATATTTATACTCTTGGTTATCTTAGTTCATCAAAAGTTAATGAACTCGAAGTCATTCCCATAACTATGAAAGTAAGTCATAGACAAGAGATCTGAGCCAAAGCAAAAGCAGGGAAATAAATCATTACAAAATACATTTCTAGGTAGTTTTCTCCTTGTTCAAATAATAT